GGGGGGGGGCGGGGGGTGGTAGCTGGGGGACGGGCCGGCATACGCAGTAGGGGTGAGATGGGCTGCGATCGCTCAGACTTGAGCGTGCGCCTGGCTCAGGCTGGTGTTGCTGCTGCAGAGCGGTGTTATCCTGTACGAAAGGGTGTTGGTGCTGCAGCGGGAGTGGTAGTACCATAACAGCAGAAGGGGTTGCAGCGCCTTTTGAAGGTGGGTTGTTGTCGTTTGTTGCCGTTCGGTTGGGCGGTGCTTTACGGTGGTTTGGGTACGTAGATGAATGCTTGGGTACCCCCTCCGTTGGACCTGAGACCGGCACGTTCTACGTTCTGACTGTTATTTGGTGCGTACATTTTTTGGGGTTGGCGTTTTGTCTTCGTTTGTTGCAAATTATGTTTGTATTTTTTGTGCATCGGTGTATTGCACACTAGAAAACGGTTGTCGGCACCTGCAGCGGCGGAGGCGGCGGCGGCGCGCAATGTACAACTCAGGGTCACAGCCGTCCGTTCTTGACGGATTGTGGTATTAAACGACAAAGATTAAATGAAAAAAATACACACGCATGCCGAGGCGATCGTTGGTCGAGTCTGTGCGCATTCCACACGCCCCCGCAAATCGCACAGGGGTTGGCTGCCTTTGGTATGAACCTAATAATGATGCGCTGATGATATTTGAGGTTCTTTTACAAGTTAAAACCGCACACGACGCCGAGCCCCGCCGGCGGACGAGAAAGCGTTGAGCGCGTGGCTTTGTTGTCCCGCGAAGACATCACGGCTTTCGTGACGTCATGTTTTTCGTGTTTTGCTACACAGTGGGTGGCCCGATAAACTGCCGGTATGTGCAGAGAAAATCACCGACACTATACCGGGCACCGGCACTATTCAAAGTACAGAACAACTTGGTATTCCAGTGTGTGCGAGCCGAAAACACCGGCACTATACCGGCGACCGGCACTATATCGGGCCACCCACTGTACTCCTTCAGGCAGAAAACTTGGTTCTGGGTGAGAGCTGAACAGCCGTTTTGTGCCTCTCTTCGGGTGTGTCACAGGTTATTGCGTTGCACACCCTCAGCAGCGCCCCTCGACAGCTTGTATCGAGTCGTGTTAAGGACACGCATACTCGCCTGTTACGGTTACGTCTTTTCGAGTTGGTGTCATCAAAGTTCAGGATTACCGTGAATCAGACGTAGCAGTAAACCTCATTTCTCCGAGCGATGTCGACCGAAAAATCAACGTCAATCAACGTCAAGAGTCGAGCAAGCCAGTCAAGAATCTTCCGGGCGTCACCGATTCAATTTTTCATCCCCAAAAAACACTAAAATCCCAATACGGGGCGATGCAGACGGGTATCCTGTCGTCATCCATCACACCAAGACACGGGATACTCACGCCCGTCAAGCGATACCACCGCAAAGACGTGCGCAACAAAATAGTTCCAACCCCCGCAACCAATATCGCGAACGCCCGTCTGTGTGTCATCGAACTCACGATCAAGAACCAACTCACAGCAGACGCGACCTTCCGACCTTGTACTGGTTGTCCTGGAACCACTTTGTTGCGACACGCCCGCTTCCGGTACACCCACGCCGGTCGCGTAAGGCTGGATACGCGTAAACCAAGACCAACACGACAGACAGACACGTCTACCCTTCGCTTTTGTAACGCCTGTTGCGTGCCAATATCATCCAGAAAAAGCTATGCCGGACATAAAAAAAAATCGTTGAGTAAATGAAGAAATACCATACTCGCCGTAAACGCCGTTTTCCTACGTACGGTATTAAGGGGACCACGGCGTGTGCCATTCCCTAGCACACGCACGTCACCAATCGCCCGTCAGCAGACTGCACGTAGGCTCACAGCGACCATCTTAGCCTGTTGTCAGATATCGTATCGCTGTGGGAAAAAGCACTTTCATTGCGCTATGGCCACCTCTTCTAGGGGAACAAACATCCTAGTCTACCACCACCGGCTACCACGCAAAAGCGAGTGCGCCGGTTCCTTTTACACAGCTATGTATCGTGGTGCTTGCATGCTCGCACGACACCAACGAACGTCGTACGACAGCTGGCGCGACATCGCTTCGTCGAAAAACGGCAACCGTTGTGTTGCTCGCGCGGCCGCCACCAGCACGCGGCGAGCAGCTGATGAAAAACAAAGGACACCCAAACGCTCTCGAACGGCAAAGAAAATGAACAGCACACCCAATCAATGCTTCTATGTACTACGTATCGGATCACAACATGGGGTCGGGGTAGCCCATAGTGAACTAATACCTAGGCTACCACCGTCTCGGAAAAAAAAGATCATTATCCCGTTGAAAAACAATGAACGAGAGAGCTCACGACCACAAACCATTTTCACCCAAATCTACTGTTGGTGGATCAACCTCGCCCGTGTGTTCAGATCGTTCCGAATACGGGAAGATTCTCCTAGCAATGAGTTATCGTCGTTCAGATAAACACGGAGGGCGATGGATCTATGCTGTTAGTTTTATCCCATGGCATCGTCGAGTTCTTCGTCCTCGTCGAACTCTCCCTCCTCTTCCGCGGTGGCGTCCTGGTACTGCTGGTACTCGGACACCAGGTCGTTCATGTTGGACTCGGCCTCCGTGAACTCCATCTCGTCCATGCCCTCGCCGGTGTACCTGTATTATTAGTCGATTTGGCGGCAGGGCAAGGTACAGTAACAGCAGTAGCAGGTTCAACAGAAGAACACAAGAGGTGTTGTAGACAGAAAGACGCACACAGAATCGCAGAAAGCTGGACAAACCAGGCCGGAACCGCGTTTGGTGCTGCAAGGAGCGAATAAGATAAACCAAACCTCACAGCACAAACGATGTCCTGCACCAGCATGTTGCACGGCACCCACGCATCTGACAAAGGAGGTACACACGGCCGGCCGTTGTGTACTTCCCTGCAAGCCAACATAAAATACACATTTACGCACACATACACGTCTCACCAGTGGAGGAAGGCCTTTCGCCGGAACATGGCCGTGAACTGCTCCGCCACACGCTTCCAAACCTCCTGGATGGCGGTGGTGTTGCCCACGAAGGTGGTGGACATCTTGAGCCCCTTCGGTGGGATGTCGCAGATGGAGGCCTTGACGTTGTTGGGGATCCACTCCACGAAGTACGACGAGTTCTTGTTCACGACGTTCAGCATCTGAGGCAACGCGAAGAATGGCAGCGCCGTTTGTCACAAAGGCACAACCGGCAAGTTGCGTTAGGGTTGCGTATCACATGTTGCAAACGTACGTCGCACGGCGTGGGTGAGGGAAGATCAGTCACAGTGCTCCGAAGCAAAAGGCAGGCACGCAAGGACCAACGCCTACCCGAAACTGAAAGTACTCACGACGAAGACTGCTTATCACATTCAACATAGGTATATCCTGTACACGTTTCGACGCAACATGTGTGGGCGCGTTGGACGACACCTCAGCACGCACACAACAGGAGAGAGGACAGCGGCGCAATGGGCCGGACACGACAAACATACGCATCTACCGCTGTGCTCTACAATGGGCCCTCACCTGTTCGTCGACCTCCTTTGTGGACATCCGCCCTCGGAACATCACGGCGCAGGTCAGGTATCGCCCGTGGCGAGGGTCGGCGGCGCACATCATGTTCTTCGAGTCGAAGCACTGCTGGGTCAGCTCGGGGACGGTCAGGGCGCGGTACTGCTGCGAGCCGCGGCTGGTGAGGGGAGCAAAGCCGATCATGAAAAAGTGCAGGCGGGGGAACGGCACCATGTTGACCGCCAGCTTTCGGAGGTCGCAGTTGAGCTGCCCGGGGAAGCGGAGGGAGCAGGTAGTACCGCAGATGGCGGCCGACACCAGGTGGTTCAGGTCACCGTAGGTGGGCGTGGTGAGCTTGAGGGTTCGGAAGCAGATGTCGTACAGGGCCTCGTTGTCGAGCATGAAGCACTGGTCGGCGTTCTCGACGAGCTGGTGCACGGAGAGGGTGGCATTGTAGGGCTCGACGACGGTGTCGGACACCTTGGGCGACGGGATGACGGAGTAGGTGGACATGACGCGGTCCGGGTACTCTTCTCGGATCTTCGAGATGAGCAGGGTGCCCATGCCCGCGCCCGTCCCGCCCCCCATGGAATGGGTCATCTGGAAGCCCTGCAGCGCGTCGCACGACTCGGCCTCCTTGCGGACGACGTCCAGCACCGAGTCGATGAGCTCGGCGCCCTCGGTGTAGTGGCCCTTGGCCCAGTTATTTCCCGCGCCCGTCTGGCCGAACACGAAGTTGTCCGGCCGGAAGAGCTGCCCGAAGGGACCGGCGCGCACGGAGTCCATGGTTCCGGGCTCGAGGTCCATGAGGATGGCGCGCGGGACGTAGCGGCCGCCGGTGGCCTCATTGAAGTAGCAGTTAATGCGCTCGAGCTGGAGGTCGGAGTCGCCGTGGTAGGCCCCCGTGGGGTCGATGCCGTGCTCATCGGAGATGACTTCCCAGAACTTGGACCCGATCTGTGTTGGAGCGTCAGCGATACACGTGTATGAGCGGTAGCAAGCGGTTTGTTGCCGAATGTAATACCATAATCACCAAAGAGTTTACTAATGCAGTACAACGCGCCATAACAATGTATTTGAAGCAGTATTCATTCACAGCAGGTGGAGTTTCATTCATATGTATTCGAACGTGATAGGGTACAATACATCCCATCGTCCTGAATGTGCATTAACACGGGCGGCTCGTGCTTGGACCCCTGAATTTGTTATTCTTCTACTAATTGACCGATGATTTATTTCAATAAATACATGAGTTTCGGGGATTACGCTCCCCGGCCGACAAAAAACAAGTTATGGTTCAGAGCTGAAGAAAGCACCAAACGGAACCACGAGAATTGGCGTGAGCGGTCGTGTTCTTGTGAAGCCGGATCGCGCGCGTGAGGGTAGATCGACGGTTTCAGTAGCGCTCGCACTCAAGCCAGCCAGCCCCAAATGACGCGGTAGCAGTGCTGGGTGCTATTGCGACACATGCAGATGTGCGGCGTATCGGGCGTTAATGACGGTTTCTCTGGTATTCTCTAGTAACATGTATTGCGTGCAGAAGCGGGGGAGTTGTGGCGGCGGCCCAACAAGATGATTCCCGAGCCCTTCGTTTAGGAATGAGGGTGCATACTGAGCGCCCCCGGCCTGCTGCTGTATGCTACCGGCCGCAGGTCAGAAACGGGGGTTGCTGCTATGCAACGAGAATACTTCGTACGCCTTTTCTCTCGTCAAATCAAGCCCGAAGAAAAGTACTTTGATGCAGCTCGTCGGTGCAAGCAACTTTGGCTGTTCGTAGTAACATGCGCTCATTATCTTTTCGCGCCGCGGGGGAACGTCGCAAGCTACCACACGTGCGTGTTTCGAACTCACCTGGTTACCACACTGTCCGGCCTGAACGTGAACTTGAGTTGCCAGGGTAGCGGAGGACGAGTAGGGAAGTACCAGCGGGGGGAAAGGAGAGATAAACAGAGGGAAAGGCAAGAGAAAGAGAGACGTGTTCATGTTATCGAGTGGTATGCAAACATGGCACGGACAGGCATCTTGCGTGTTTACTGCAGTACGGGCGTTCGTTGTTCCTTACACCCGACGTCCCTCGTGCCAACCCCATCAGCCTTACCGATTTCCCTCATGATTTAGATTGGCGTGTTGATACGGGGAAGGGTTGTGTGGGGTGTGGAGGGTAGAGAAGAGGAGTGAGGAGTGAGACGTGTGGGCTGATGTTTCACGTGACGCGAGTGTCGTACAAGAAAAATGCGGGGGAATTATGTAAAAAAACCGTCAGCGACAAAAACGCCTCCGTCATTGGTTCCCATTCGTGGGTGCCCTCCATCCCCTGCCCCCCGTTGCAGGCTGGCTGTGTTGTCTGTTTATTTTTTGGCCCAAGAGCAATCACCCCCAACTCACTCTTTCTTTTTGTCTCTGGGTGCCTCTCTGTCTCCACAGCCGAACACCCGTCTAAAAACATGAGGGAGATCGTTCATGTTCAAGCAGGTGGGTGGACATCTCCGTAGGAAGTGTATCTCCCTTTGCTTTTTTGCTCCTCGTCCTGGCTCTTCTCTCGATCTACCCTCACACCGCTAACCCGATCGCGTTCCCCTTCCTCCGTTAACTTCGCTCGCGATCTTGCTCCATCCTGTCCGCAACGCGGGATTCGGCCCTACTCCAGGACAGTGCGGTAACCAGGTGAGTCTCGCAGACCATGCGGTCTTTGTCCGAAGAGAGGCATGTGAGGATCCTGTGCTTGCGTTGCACGCCCACTGGTTTGAGAAACGCTGGACATTGGTCATGTCCTCCGGTGCTTTGCGTTTAGTTCTACGCTGTGCGGGCCAGGGAGAGTAGGTAAATGCAACCTCACCGGGAGACTTCGGGATGAGCAAGCAGTAGCGAATAATGACGGATCCTGCGGGTGCGTGTGTTTTGCTTGTGTTCACGTGGAGTTCGCAGTTTGTATCTGTTTCTCGCTCTCTGTGTCTCTTACCCTCTATGGTTGGCTTTCGTGAACGAAAAATAACAAACGGCAGGAAGACAGGAGCCAAAAAAAAAAGTTGGACTCCTGCACCCGGCACCGAAAACACAAGATGTTGCGGTGTATGCTTGCACCGAAGATTCGTTGGATTGCAACCAGCCAACTTTTGTTCCCGGCACGCCCGCGGTCGAGAGATCCCTCAGCCTCCTGTCCATCAGCAGTAGTTGCTGTGTAAGGGTGCAACCCGCTAGGCGTCGCCCGATGATCCGAAAGCTCATGGTTGGGGGAGATCCGGGCAGCCGTTGAAGTTTAAATCGCACAGGGTGTTCGATGTTTGCTTGTATGCTTGGCCTCTTTAGGCGCAAGATGGCGTCGTGGGCCTCACACAAAGCAGCGGTATCTAGTACTAGGTAGTTGGGGTTGCAACTGCTTTGTGCCGGGAAGAAAGGTCGGCGTGATGCCCAAGTGCCACTGCTGCTGCGGTATGTGCGCCTGTTCCGCAAAAAGTTTGGTGTCATGCCATGTGCATGGCTTCAAAGTCTTGTGTGGATCGAATGTGGGAAGGAACGCAAGGCATGGATCCACCCCGCAGAATAGTGGTGACGATGGGGGGCTGTACAATAGCGGGTTGTCGTGCTATGCTGATGCATCCAAATGGACCGCCTGCAATTGCGATGGCTGTGCCTCCAGCAATAGGGCGTCAAAAAACAACCGCCAAATTGGCGACACCCACACCCACAACAACAGCAGTGTTGCAATCGGTGGGAGCAACGCAGACGCCAATCAAATTTACCCTCTTTGGTCTACAAGTAGTTCGCGCTTTTTTGGCAGGAACATTTCAATCAACACTCAATCGTGAGCCGAAAATAATTCCACACTTGTTTCAAGGGATCTCCTAGAATCCATGTGTCTAGCAGGCGTGGTTCGTGGTTGGGCGTGTGGTTTCGTTTGAGGGAAATCTCAAGCCCCCTCAGGTGTACCGATATGCAGACCAGGGGCTTTTTGTCACCGACCAGAAAGTTCTGTAGCTGTGTACTAAACGAACTCAGCGGATCGCACCCTCCTGGCACTCTCAATTCTCCACGCTCCAACCTATGACCGGACATCCACTCGAACTGTGCTGCCCACGTAGTTGTAGGGTCAGTTCGACAGCCCTTTCTTGTACAGCGAGCACAAAGCGGTGAGCTGCCCCGCCAATGGTTGAGGGAGCCCCGTTGACCATAGAGCCAATCACCCTCGCCCCACCACGTCCTAACCTCAAGCTGTAACTGCAGCCAGCATTTGTTCGGCTCCCCAGCAAAGATAACCAACCCAAGGAAATCTCTACCATTGATACGCTCACATCGAACAACGATCATATCCTGCACGCATCGCTGACGCTCCAACACAGATCGGGTCCAAGTTCTGGGAAGTCATCTCCGATGAGCACGGCATCGACCCCACGGGGGCCTACCACGGCGACTCCGACCTCCAGCTCGAGCGCATTAACTGCTACTTCAATGAGGCCACCGGCGGCCGCTACGTCCCGCGCGCCATCCTCATGGACCTCGAGCCCGGAACCATGGACTCCGTGCGCGCCGGTCCCTTCGGGCAGCTCTTCCGGCCGGACAACTTCGTGTTCGGCCAGACGGGCGCGGGAAATAACTGGGCCAAGGGCCACTACACCGAGGGCGCCGAGCTCATCGACTCGGTGCTGGACGTCGTCCGCAAGGAGGCCGAGTCGTGCGACGCGCTGCAGGGCTTCCAGCTGACGCACTCGATGGGGGGCGGGACGGGCGCGGGCATGGGCACCCTGCTCATCTCGAAGGTGCGATTAAGTTTGTTGTCCTTTGCTGACAAGAAAATGGCAGTTGTACGGGTGCGAGCACGTGGTTGTCAAACAGCACTGGTTTATTTGTTGCCCATTTCCTGTCGGAATGGTAACTGCGTCTTGAGACCTTTTGTGTTCGCCTACCCGTAGGCAGCAGCAAATTAGCGACAACGCGGATATATTCTGTCTCCTCGTACCACAACAGTATGGCACGTGGTCAACCGCTAGTTGTCGGGTCGTTTGCAGCATCACTTGAGCACGATCCCTTCCCTACCCCTCGCCCGCTCCTCCCACGCCATAGGTCCGTGAAGAGTACCCAGACCGCATCATGTCCACCTACTCCGTCATCCCGTCGCCCAAGGTGTCCGACACCGTCGTCGAGCCCTACAATGCCACCCTCTCCGTGCACCAGCTCGTCGAGAACGCCGACCAGTGCTTCATGCTCGACAACGAGGCCCTGTACGACATCTGCTTCCGAACCCTCAAGCTCACCACGCCCACCTACGGTGACCTGAACCACCTGGTGTCGGCCGCCATCTGCGGTACTACCTGCTCCCTCCGCTTCCCCGGGCAGCTCAACTGCGACCTCCGAAAGCTGGCGGTCAACATGGTGCCGTTCCCCCGCCTGCACTTTTTCATGATCGGCTTTGCTCCCCTCACCAGCCGCGGCTCGCAGCAGTACCGCGCCCTGACCGTCCCCGAGCTGACCCAGCAGTGCTTCGACTCGAAGAACATGATGTGCGCCGCCGACCCTCGCCACGGGCGATACCTGACCTGCGCCGTGATGTTCCGAGGGCGGATGTCCACAAAGGAGGTCGACGAACAGGTGAGGGCCCATTGTAGAGCACAGCGGTAGATGCGTATGTTTGTCGTGTCCGGCCCATTGCGCCGCTGTCCTCTCTCCTGTTGTGTGCGTGCTGAGGTGTCGTCCAACGCGCCCACACATGTTGCGTCGAAACGTGTACAGGATATACCTATGTTGAATGTGATAAGCAGTCTTCGTCGTGAGTACTTTCAGTTTCGGGTAGGCGTTGGTCCTTGCGTGCCTGCCTTTTGCTTCGGAGCACTGTGACTGATCTTCCCTCACCCACGCCGTGCGACGTACGTTTGCAACATGTGATACGCAACCCTAACGCAACTTGCCGGTTGTGCCTTTGTGACAAACGGCGCTGCCATTCTTCGCGTTGCCTCAGATGCTGAACGTCGTGAACAAGAACTCGTCGTACTTCGTGGAGTGGATCCCCAACAACGTCAAGGCCTCCATCTGCGACATCCCACCGAAGGGGCTCAAGATGTCCACCACCTTCGTGGGCAACACCACCGCCATCCAGGAGGTTTGGAAGCGTGTGGCGGAGCAGTTCACGGCCATGTTCCGGCGAAAGGCCTTCCTCCACTGGTGAGACGTGTATGTGTGCGTAAATGTGTATTTTATGTTGGCTTGCAGGGAAGTACACAACGGCCGGCCGTGTGTACCTCCTTTGTCAGATGCGTGGGTGCCGTGCAACATGCTGGTGCAGGACATCGTTTGTGCTGTGAGGTTTGGTTTATCTTATTCGCTCCTTGCAGCACCAAACGCGGTTCCGGCCTGGTTTGTCCAGCTTTCTGCGATTCTGTGTGCGTCTTTCTGTCTACAACACCTCTTGTGTTCTTCTGTTGAACCTGCTACTGCTGTTACTGTACCTTGCCCTGCCGCCAAATCGACTAATAATACAGGTACACCGGCGAGGGCATGGACGAGATGGAGTTCACGGAGGCCGAGTCCAACATGAACGACCTGGTGTCCGAGTACCAGCAGTACCAGGACGCCACCGCGGAAGAGGAGGGAGAGTTCGACGAGGACGAAGAACTCGACGACGGAATGATGTAAAATCTCGATGCCGATCGTTAGTGCTGTGTTTTGTCGTCGTCACTGCTGGTGTTAACTATCCGGGTTCCTGTCTTACAGACAATTATGCTTGCTTGCTGGTAGATGCCCGAGGCTGGCGGGATTACACTCGAAGAAATCGGTAGTGTTGCGGAAGTGTTTCTCTTTCTTTTAGTTGAATCAAATGTTGTGTTGCTGGCATTTGCTGGCCGTTTTCGCTCCTCTGGTTTTCGCTTTGTTGCCGTGGCTGTGTTGGGGTCGTCGGACCACTGGCATGGTTGTGTAGCATGGGTACTATAGAGTTATTTCCCCCCCCTTAGGGTTGTTTTTTGTTTCTTCAGTTGTTTTATTCAAACGGGGTTTTAAAAAGCTTTGACCTACTTGTTTTTAAGGTAATTTTTTGGGTTGTATTCCGGCATCGTGGCATTTGCTTGTTCAGTTCGTCCGGGTGATATTTTTTTAAGTCGTTTAGCCGCCTGTCGATCGTTGTAAAGTTTTGAACGTGGGTTTCGCCATGCGGTTCTACACGCTTTTGAACAAGACGTTGGCACCGAACACTGCGGTGAGCGGCCCTGAGTGCGCAGGCCCACAGTACAAAAAGCACACGTTGTTTTGTTGTAAGTATATATCTCGCTCATTACAAGTATTATAGATTGCGGTGTTGTTTTTTGTTGGTGGTCTCGGAGACGTTTGCTGCTCATTTCCCCATTTTCCCGCCTGAGATGGCGTCCCTTCCCAAGCAGAAGGTCCACGAAATGTGTGGGAATAGTGTTTTGGAGTTCGAGCGCATGTTTCCGGATGGGGCGTATGTTGACGAGCGGTGCTTGTTGAGCACCAGGTTTTGCATTTCGCTCCGTCTTTGAGCCTATTTTTTTATGTTCCGCCCGTTTTATTCTGGCGTAGGATACGCTGCGTTTCCTCATCGTTACACCCTATGGGAATGAAAAACATGAGATATCTTCACGGATTCACTGCTGTGCCTCCGACAAGCTTCTATAACGGTAGTTTGAACTTCGCACTCGCACACGCGAAGAGAAGGCGTTTTAGAGAAAAGGTGGCTTGGAAATGTACTTGTTTGTTCGCACTGCCATGCAAAAGGAGCGAGTTGAACTTGGGCTGGTTTGACTGCTGCAGATGTTCTGCCAACATTGTTCCAGGCATTTGGCGTCGAAATACCTCGCAAGTAGTGCTTTACACAGAGCACGCTTGTGGAAGACAATCGATCGAGCTCGACAAGTCACCGTTCACTCCCGCGGTGGACAAAAATAATATATTTAACACCCCACTCTCCCATGTATGCTTTGCAATATGCCCGGTGTGCCAACAGGATTCGTCGCACCACCGATTGTTCCAGGTTGATTTTTAACTTCTTGCCATGTTGTGCGTGCTTGATCATGTGTCATCCATTCTGCCACCTAGAAAGGAGCGACGGTTGTACGATAGCAGCACCAGCGTCCATGCCGCGGGGTGCACTGACCCGGGTAATCCCTAAGGGTGACGGCAGCAACAACCCAACAAAATCCACCCCCCATCGCCACAAGAGACCCTATACATACAACCGCCCACAGCAGTATCTCTGTTTCTTTGGCACGCATGTTCAAACCCCTTTCTAGACGCACTATTTTTCAGACTATGGCTTTCGCTCTCACTCCCTTCGTGGAAAACCAAAGCAATGAACGGCAGGGGTGGGTCTGGTTCTTGCTACTGCACTATCCTCATCTACTACGTGGAAGTCTCGATTTTCCCACGACACATGTATGCTGTCCTATATATTTTCCAGGAAATTCCTGCACCAGACAGACCAATCCCTTGTCTACCTCCCCCACTTACCGTCGACAAGAAGGGCAATAAGCATCCGACGTCTGAGCGCGGGGTTCGTAAGTGAGCTCCGGGGCATAACATTAGAGAGACGAAAGAAAGCAGCGTAATATCGCCAAGCCGAAACAATCGGATCTACCTGGTCTAATTTGTCAATCCGCTATTATTGTACTGTCCCCGAGCCTTCGCCCTCTCTTGGCCGTTTCTTGAGAATCTTGTCCACCACACCGAACTCTATCGCTTCCTGGGCGGTCATGTAGAAGTCGCGGTCCATGACCTTCTCGATCTCCCCCACTTCCTGCGAGGAGAGGGGGGCATCGAAGAGCGCCCAAGCCCGACGCAAGGGTACGTAAGTACGTACGACACGCCGTTAGAGGGCAGAAGGTCGAAAACAAGGGGGGCTCCCCCGAGAAAAAAAGGTTGAGAATAAAGCGCTCTCCCTTCGTGAAAGGGGGGCAAGGGTGCCGAGTGGTGACGGCATGGTGTGTTCGAGCTTTTTCGGCGTTTTTTTACGGGGAATGGTGGGCGAGATCACGCAATGCACAACCGGAGAGAGCTGAGAAGCTCGGTTCTGGCGCGCCCCTTTCCTGAACGAATGCATACAAACAACCGCTACCGTCGATTTCATACGGAGTAGTTGTCACGGAACTGATGGGGGTGAGACGAAGTTATCCATCCCATTTGTCGGGCGAGCGGATGGCGGAAGGCAGGCAAGAACAACCCGTGCGCGCAGGCGAGAGAGGAGAGGAACCAGCACGACCCAAAGAAGGCAGCGTAGCGGTAACCCAACCTACCAATAGCACGTACGGTTGAACAGGGAGACATGTCTTCCTCACCACAATCACGAAGAGATTCATTCGGCAAATGAAATGGCGGTATTTCGCTCTCTGGTTCGTGCACGAGCTTCGTACACTAGTTACAAATTTTTCGGCAACGACCGATCCTGTAGCAGCGACGAAGGCCCACGGCAAGCCACATGCACACACCGTACACATCAAACGAGTAGGAAAAAACTAGCAAAGAGATAATTAATTAAGTCACTCTGTGTGGCCCTTACTCGTCCGGTGTGCTCCGCGTAGATGTCGTTCAAGCGCGCCCTAGTCTTGATGATCTCTTCCGCCATGATGGCGATGTCGGCCGCCATGCCGTTCGCCCCGCCACTCGGCTGATGCAACATGACCTGAGTCACCGGTTGGTTGACGAGGGCGAACAACAAACACGGGGTGGCGTTTTTATTTTCGCACCTCGTTGCTTGGTGACGCTTCGTGAACTACTGCCGGGGGCATAGGCCTACGAGGTACAAGGTGAATTATCCCGCCGCAACAATGAGTGTGGCACTCCACTCGGCCTCGCCAGGACTGCTGAGCGTGTACCGCATATGCATCCCAGCGTCTCCTTTCTATGCACATGCATACATATCCTTTGAGGTATCAGCGTGGTCATCGATTCCGTAGACTGAACAGGCACGGCACAGCCCCTCGCTTTTCCCAACCCCGGCTTCTTGCCTTGGCGTTCGGAAGTATGAAGCGCATCTCCGGAGAACCTGCGGTAAGAAGCAGCGATCCCATCGACGCGGCCTGCCCCATGCAGATCGTGCATATCTCCGGCCGGACGTACTGCATGGTATCGTAGATCGCCAATCCGGCCGTGACCACGCCACCGGGGCTGGGTTGATTTGATTTGATTGGACGATACATTAGAGAGGTTGTTGGTGTACTTTTAGGTTTTCCGCTCGTTCGAGCACGGCACAATGTCGGTGCATCATCGGGGGTGAGAGGGGTGCCATCGAGAAAACAACTGAAATCCAATAAAAAGTTTGGTGGGAAGCCGAAGGAAGGTAGGTACATGGGGAGACTTCTCCCAGTCAAAAGTGGCGAAACTTGCATGTGTCTGGCTGACTTACAACAAACAGCAGTGCAGGCTTTCGACCGTGAGCTGAATTCAAGACGATCACAACAGCCACGACAACCGCCAGGCAAGAACTTGTACTGCTGTTCTTCCTGGTGTGCAAGATATTCCAAACACGGACGAAGCAAACCTTCGAAATAGGTAGCCACAACTTGCTGCATGTAGTCTAGACTACGATGTAGATCTATTTAGAACGTGCGATGGTTTCGCATGGGGGGTTGAAAACAAAAACGGACGGACCTGTTGATGTACATGTTGATGGGCTTATCCGGATTCTCCGACTCGAGGAACAGGAGCTGGGCCGTCACTAGCGATGACATCTGCTCCGTTACAGGCCCGTGCATGCAGATGATGCGTTCCTGGTTTCCGGCAGAGGGATCCATCGACCAGTAGTCAACAGCGCCATAGACGTGAAATTGTTACTGCTGCGGTATCCGAACACGCCGCCCGAATCTCACGAGTAGCCAACCAAACTACCTTGCTGCCGGTGGTCTGCAACGGAATTCAATGTCCCAAGAAAGAGTCACGAGTACATGCACTCTCCTCAAGCCCAAATACTGCCACCTACAGCAGCATTTAGGTAAGATAACCCCCCCCCCCCGTTGGGCAACCGTGGTTGTTTCAAGTACAACAACGTTGGTGTATCCGTCCGCGGGTTCAACATGGCATTCAAAACCCGATACACTCGTGATTGAAGCTACGCTCCATTGAACCTACACCGAAGCATACACACCCTGAGAAGTCTCGAGTAAATATCGTAGGCGCGCTCCCCTCTTGGCGTTGACTCGAGCACCATGGGCAAGTAGTTCATCTCTACTCGGCCGGTGCAGCTATACGCTCTGCAGGAAATCCTGCTGTTCTTGGCTGCAGCCGGTCCTGCACCAGCGAGGCGCGCCAATGCTCGGGCATGTATCGATTTCAGCAACATGCTACTATATTTCAGCTGGCGTGGCCGGTTCGCCCGGAGAGAGAGAGGTAGAGTCAGGTAGCGAGGCACGATACCTCAGCAAGCACCCCGTTGCGGCGAATCAGTAATTCACATTCCTAGGGGCACCGTGATGGACAAGCGTCTCCCCACGCCTAGTCTGTGATCATGACGTCATGAGGCACAGGGCCCATAGGCAGGGCCAAAAAAGTGAAAAACGACGCAATTTTATTGGTCAACAGCACATCCCGAGATGAAAAACGACCCCGAGACCATGAAAAACGACGACCTGTGATTGGGCCAAAGGATCCGAATTGGGCCGCTGCCGCCGAGACACATGAAAACACATGATGACAACACCCAACAAAGACCACAACGGAGAGCACAACAGCCCTCCCACAGCAGCCGTGGAGCCAGCGCTCCCCATGGGGCGAAATCCAGGATCAAAACCCAAGGATGGCGCACAAAAAGCGGGTCGGAAAACAAATGCGGAGAGGTGAGGATAGCTGCGCAGCAGAAGAACCAGGCGGCCGCGTTCGCAAGGATGCTCTCCCGGCACCCGCAAGCCCAGCCATAATCAAAGCGGCCACGGGTGAGTAAAGACCAAAGTGGGGAGGGAAGCAGTGCGGGTGCTAGAAGCGCGTCATCCGCCGGCGATGTCGACGTTAGTGGGGGTTCTGGTGATTCATCAAGCACGGTGGCACCAACCATAGGCGAGTCCACTCCACCTCCTGCCGTTACACAACAGCAGTCGCCTCCTCGCTTGGACGATGAGGGTGAACACTCTCGAGTAGATGGAGAAGAAGCTCGGGCACCACCATTCTTAACCGTAGGAGAAGGATCCGCAACAGCACCAACAGAGCTCGTAACAACAACAACAACAGCAGCAGCAGCAGCAGCAACAGCAACAGCAGCAGCGGCAGCAGCAGTGGCGGCGGTACCCGTCCCGCACCCTCCCAGCAAAGGCAAGGGTAAAGGCCGTGCTCAAGAAGCCTCTCAAGCACGCGGGGGGGAAGCTCCAGCAGAGCGATCCTCTCACATAGGTGAGGGGTCAGTACCAGCATCAACAGCACCGGCAATATCAGCGGCACCAGAGGCCGCAACAGGGGCAGCAACACCGGCACAACTCGCAGCAGCAGCAGCGGAAGTAGCCGCCGCCGCGGGGGCGGCAGCGGAGAGACCAGCAGCAAGCGGAGGTCACGACCGCGGAGCGCGCCAACAAGGACGAGGAGGGGGGCTGAGCGGCCGTGGAGGAGGTAGAGGAGGGGGGATGAGCGGCCGTGGGGGAGGTGGAGGAGGGGGGCGAGGGGCAGCAGCGCCAGGTCGTGGAGCAGGAGGAGGTGGGGCTGGAGGAGCCGCTGGTGGAGGGGCCGGCGATGATGATACTTCAACATCCAGTGCGCAGGAACGCTTCTTTGAAGAAGTGAAGGACAAGATCGACCGGAGTATCACCCACGAGGGAGGTGGTGTGAAAGGCCGGTTCCCGTTTGACAACCCGCTCGTGCGTCCGAAGTGTGCCACTTTTCAGCCATCACCAGGTACGCCAGAGGAGTTGTTTTTTTTGGGGGGGGGGTAAATAGCTGCCTATCTATCTTTCTTTTCAGATTAAATCGTCCAGGGAAAATACATCCCATCCCCCGGTAGGCCATTTTTTTTGTCTCGCGTGCCTGATGTTCTGACATATCTACCTCACATTTACGCGCGCCCAGACCTACCGAAACTCGACCGGTTTTATCAGAAGGCGGTATTGGTATGGATACCGGAGTTCTTGTTCCCAGAGCTCCAGGCAGTTCCTTGTCCAGGATGTGGGGGCAAGGGCGCACCTGATGGCTGGAACCCTAAGGGGCCACGCCGGGTGTTCATGGAGCACGACGTGGCGTACGTGATGGGGTTTCGGTAAGTTCAGCATGCGACGAAGAGTGTTCGCTCGATAAACTTCATCAGTCATGTTTTCGTGGCATCCGACGAATTCTGGGTTTCTGGTAGATTGGAGTTCGTCTTGTGGTTTTCCGACGATATTGCTCGTGGTGTATGTTTTCTCCCATGCACGTGCAGGTACAAGTGTGCGAAGTGCGCGGAGTTCAATAAAGGCAAGCAGGAGGCGGAAAAGCGCAAGACGAGCTTCAACGCGTGGGGTGCTGGGTGCCTCCGGCGTCTCCCGGAGTACATCTCCAAGGAGTTCCCTTTCCTTCTCACCAAGCGATCGGGCATTGAGATTTGCATGGTGGACCGGCTTGCAGATGATTTGGTGCATGGGAAGGGCTTCTCCGCTGCTGCCAAGAACATTTGTCAGGTGAATATGCAGTGTCTCATCTGCAGCGTCTTAAGATAACGGGTTGGTCTGGTCTTGGCTTTCCTAGCCTGTTCAAAACATTTGCGGATGGTACCGCAAACGTTGCTGCGGGAAACGTCGAATCTCATAAGCGCCGACCCGTGCTACAACGAAAACGTGTCGCCCTCGCAATGCTGTTGCAGGCGCATACGACCAAGTTCATGGTGGACCAGCTGAAGTACACCTCTCTGGTCAGCACCCGGCGGACCAGCTCGGGCATCTTCCGCTCGGCCAACCTCGCCAAAATTCCGGAGAGGTTCGGCAGCTTTGATGACTCGACAAAGTACGGCGGTGCGGTCCCGTCGGAGCACTATTTGCGGGACGTGTGGCGGTTGTATTTTTCGAAACTCCCCGTGCTGGAGATGGATAGCGTGGATTGGACCCTGGAGGAGTATCAGCACCGCTTGATGCAGCGCTGGGACGGAGACATTCTGGGTGGGGATGCTTCGTTTAAGTTTGCGAAGATCATCCGGCTCGGGGCAAAGGCGGGCGAGGAGCGCACAAGACCAGTGTACGGCTTCTTCACAGTCTTCAACGAATGTGAGCAGGTGAAAATTTCTCCTGCCTCTGTTTCGTTCAACCATCCCCAAACCCTTCGTGTTGGTGCCATGTTTTCTGGAGCAATCACTGGCAAATTATTCTCGTAGTATGGTACGCTCATTCTGATGACCCGAAAAACATTTCGTTGTTACACATGTGTGTTCTTATTTGAAGGTGGTCTGGCAGCGTCCGATGAAGACCGGTGCCTTGAGCGAGCTGGCGGAGGAGTTGAAGCTTTTTTTCATGCGATTCGTTCGCAATGGCTTCAAGGTTCCTACTCTGTGGAACACAGGTAATTTGCGAAATGATTGTAGAGTTGCTTCGCTTTTCGAGGTTGTAGACCGGTGTCAGGCCTGCTATTTTCGCAGTGACTTTGCAGTATTGTCTCCTCAATCCTTTCCGGTCCCGTTGCGTGACGCTTCACTTTGTCAGATGACTGCTGTGATGACCGTCAACTGCTGCAACGCATATTACGCGAGTTTGAGGAGGTAACGGGGATCAGTCTTTATCTGGAAGACGAGGTGGACGCCGGAGTTCAGTTGGAGCTCCTGCCATAGCTGGATATGGAGTTCACCCCTGCCATCATGTACGACCGGGAGGCGGTAGCCGCTGCCTGCGGCTCCCGTCAGAGCATCAGCCAAATATCGAGTGGAGGGAAAGATGATGTGCGGAGCGGACGCAGAGTGGCAGTTTTCACCTCGTGGGCGGGAACCTTTAGCGACCTTCCAGATTGCGGCTTTGAGGGTGCCGTCGTTCCTCTTCCACCTGCAGAGAGGGAACTCTGGTTTTACGAAGGAAACATTTCCCGCTCCCCTGAAGGCTCTTCTCGAGGACCCCAGCATCATCAAGGTGAGACAACAGCAACAGCACATGCGCGTGAGGGTTGAATGCGATAGATGTTGTATTTCATGCAAGTACTGCTCTTGAAAGGTTGGTACGGCGTATTTTAGCATCCGTCTTGTGAGCGTCTTCTTCATGATACTATTTGAATGCCGACTCGGCGACTCGATGTTTCCTCTGTGCAGGCTGGTGTTGCCATCAACACGGATGCCACGCATATGCTCAACGACTATGGCGTGAAAATGGCGAGCACGGTGGACCTGCGTGTCCTCGCCGTGTCCAAGTTGGTGGTGACATCGTCTCAAACACTCGCCGGCTTGACGGCGTGCCTCCTGGGGAGGCAGCTGCCGAAGGATACCGTCCGATGCTCCCGTTGGGGGAGCGCTCAACTCTCCGTTGAACAGCGAGACTGCGCCATCAGGGACGCCGTTGCCTCGGCACTCTTTTACGAGGCCATCCACACGAACAAGGACCCGATCACGTCCGTGCCTTCTTCACCGTTCGACCCGGCTGTCGGCTTGAAGGTGAGCGCCTACGCATTGTGGTATCGGCCGTACTTTGATGTGGACCGACAACAACAGATCATGGCAGGTTCAAAATTTGTGCTGAAACCCAAGCAACAACGCTTGCCCTCGTTCTTTTGCCCTCTGCGCGTACTACAGGTGCGCCTCTACAACGCCAGCCATTCCGCCTGCGTGGCGGTAGGTCACGTGGTGTCCGACGCCACCGTGGAGGCCGCCCTTCGTCACTGGCAAAGTTCTGCTAAGCTACAGGGTCTTTCCGGGAGCAGGCAGCGGGATGGCGTGGTTGTACGGGGCTCCGGGGCGGGAGGTGACCCGGTAGAGGGGTCGCCGATCTCGGCTGGGCCTGGGGCGGGGGCGGCGGGGGCGGCGCGGGCGGCGTTGCCGCAGTTCAGGGCCTGCATCGAATGCGGACACCACAAGGGTGCATACCCTGCTGAACACCCTGGGAATCGCCGTGGACATAAGGCGAAAGGTTCAGCGCCCCAGCCCGACCTTGAACCGGCGAAAAATGTTTAGTGGACCAGAGCTTGCGGCGGCCAGAGTCGGACAAAGTCTGGAACCCTAAGCACAGAAAGAGGACGTTTCTGCCCTGCCCGTGCGATGTATGCAAGGGCTCATACGCACACGTGGAGGATGGTGATAGTTAGCCTGTACTGCCGGGTCGAGAAGAGCTGGACTCATGTAAAAAAAAGTAACTATTTGCCTACCGGTTCGAAAGGCCGTTCGGTCAGAGTGCACTAGTTGTACGGCAGTCGCCCAGAATTTCGGATGGTAAAGGAAATTAACAAACGGCCCACGATTGAGACATCAGATACACCACGGCTGCCCAGGCGATGTGTGCGTGTGTGTGTGTGTATTTATGTTAGCATCGACCGCGCTAACCGGCTGACCAATTAGCCAGCGGGAAAATATGTGTGTGTTTTTATGTTTGTAAAAATGTGTGTGTTTTTTTTCCGGCACCATCTGCCGTCTTTCAACAATAATATTAAGTTGGACGGTATGCTAGACGTGCCTGGGAATGCAGTGCAAGAAGCCGTTTCGAAATCGGCTCACATTTCAAGGACATATGCCCAAAACAGTGGATCGGGGGGAGTGGAAAAAAACAGCCAAAAAACAGCCCGACCGGGAAAACGCCTCTTCAATTTTTTTCGCGCTTCGCGCGAAAATTTATATAATACGTCCCCGCCTAGCCCTACCTATGGGCCCTGAGCCGATCGTGAGGGTGGTGGATGGTGGATTCTACACACGTATGGTGTTGGGTGTGGGTGAACAATCCTGGCCATGCATGTATGACATTTTATCTACGAAGTACACATAATGTCAGAGAAGGACGTAGACTATGTACTGCCCGCTCAAGATCGGAACTTGTAGGGAGATCTTTGAGATAGATCGGGGGTGCCGAGCTCTCTTCGTGTTTTCGTTTTTCCCTTTCATGTGTGCATCTTTGCATGTGACGGATGCCTTGTCTTGGTGTGACTTTTCGTGCGATCGGTGTCTTCTACAAGTAAGTACGCCTTTGGCGTAGTAGGGCCGTGTTTCTCAGAGAGCGCAAACAACTCCGACGCCCGAGTCAATTCGTCAACATAACCCATGCCTTGCGCGATTTCATGTTGTGGTGACAATGGCACACCCGCGACCACCCATCCATCGATCATACTGAGTGTTCTTGAACACCACGCTGCTGTCTGTGTACTGCTGTTGTTCCGGGAAATTTCTTGGCACTTCGCACCACCATCGATTGTCATGATTCCACAATCTTCTTCACTCAAGGGAATCAATCGTACTCTACACTACAACAACCATCGATAGTATTGTTTGCAAGGGTCGCTGTAGACCATGCATACGGACCAGTTCCTCCATCAGCAGCACGTCGAGATGTCGAGATGCCCTCTGTTGATACGGTCTTCCAAACAAAGTCATACTGGTACAACAAACAAGGATCGACAACTTCCTACTCTCCCTCTGACGAGACAAGAAGCGGACTCCACCTACACTGCATACAGAACGCGCCACCACCTAAGACCTTCGCAGTTTTAAGATAAGAAATTGAGCCTCGAAAAGTTCAAAAAGCAAGAACTTCGCCATGAGAGCAGGTGCTCAGTCAAGAAGCCTACAGAACACTAATAATGTAACCTATATTGTCGCCGTGGGTGTATCCCATATGCAAAACAAGAAACAAGCCTTTGCCGAGATCTGATGTGACGAGGGGATCCGTTCTGTGTGAGCAGCCGCCGCACGCCCCCATTCAACCCCGCCCCCCCTGCCCGCGCCAGTCCTTATCTCTCTGCGGTTGACGGTCCTTCCGCCTTCTCCAAGTATCGGTTGAGCGCCTTCATCACTTCAACCTGCTCGGGCTCGGTGGCGAAGCGGTGGGTTGCACCCTCCACGACGACGAGTTCGTTGTTGGGCAGCACCTTGTCGAACTCGTAAGCATCGGCTACCGGGATGGTTTCATCCTCGGTGCCGTGAATGGTCAGTACCTTCGATCGCCTGCGATATTTGATTATGAGCGTCGAGGACGACCGAGGGTAAGAGAGACGGCGCAAAGAGATTGCCCGGGAAGCTTGCAATGAGGGCAGGGCAATGTGGCGGTTCACTTTCAGTTGGGGAGGAAGAAGACTGCGCAAGTATGTAAACTATCTAGGCTACCCAGACTCGGTATGGCCCTTAGCTCACACGTAGATAGAACACGGTCAATCGCATGTAGAGACTCACGTGATCGATGCGGCCGTCTTCTTCATGTTGAGCGCGGCTCGCTCCTCAAAATCACTTTTGTTGATGGTGAGATCTTCCCCCTGCAAAGCAACANGGGGGGGGGGGGGGGGGGGGGGGGGGGGGGGGGGGGGGTACTTACAGTCGTGCATGCCGTGCCGTTAGACCATTGTCCTCGCATCCCTACAAAGCCGGGACGGAGCACGCCGGGTTCTCACCGGACCAGGCTCTCACATCACCAAGCGCGAAGCGCCGTGAGATANGTACTCATAGTCGTGCATGCCGTAGTCGTTAGACCATTGACCTCGCATCCCTACAAAGCCGGGACGGAGCACGCCGGGTTCTCACCGGACCAGGCTCTCACATCACCAAGCGCGAAGCGCCGTGAGGTATTCGGCGAGTCACATGAAGGGAGGACGGGGGGAAGGGAGACGGGGTTGACGAGCGTACTGCATGGCATAGAGGTCAAGCAGCAAGGGGAAAGGACATGGATGTGAGAACGCACGACACGGTATCACCACACACACCATTGTTCGCTATGTCTGAGATGGGTGCATAGAACCAACCTGTTTCGAGGATTCATCCGGTACTAGATATGGCGGGGTAAGGAGCCGCCNGACACGGTATCACCACACACACCATTGTTCGCTATGTCTGAGATGGGTGCATAGAACCAACCTGTTTCGAGGATTCATCCGGTACTAGATAGGGCGGGGTAAGGAGCCGCCGGGTAGCGACTCAATACCTTGCAGTAGTCTTATCTGCGATGCTGATGGTGCACGAATCCCGACACACAGCAGCGTGAATCGTATGTGGTGCAGCTACGCGTGTGCACCAAAGGGACAGCAGGCGTGCGACGGGCGCGATGAGGTTGTATGTGCGGCCCCGTTCAAAAGGTTGCACTTTCCATGCGGTTGTTTCTTTTCCGTTGATGCACATGCAACACACCCCACGAAGACACGAAGAAACAAAATGTCAAGTCTTCCCGCTGTGCGGACGCAACGACACGCACATCATCATAAGGGCATCTGGAAGAGAGGCACGCATGCGGCATGTACCTGGCGGCGAGCGTATCACACATCATGCCGTCGAGGAGCACGACCAGCAGGGTAGACTTACGACTGTGACAAGACAGGTGGCAAATATTGCGTCAGACTCACAACTTGCCCGCCACATTCGTCTCAAGCCTTCCGAGTTTTCCGCCAAGCGAAAGTCTACATTGCGAAGACACTCAGTAGCGCGGCGCAAGTACGCAACCTGAACCGACCCCGCGAGGAACCATCCCGATGACGCACAGCAGCAGTAGCCCCTCACGCCCTCGACGGATTCTCTGGATGGTAGGTGCGATCTCTGGACTTGGAAGGTGTGCTATGTTGTGTGTTGTTCGCTTGTGATACAATAATCGGTCTGTTGTTTGTTGTTTTGGGAGCACTCGGTTGGACCCCTCAACACCAATTAACACCAGCCAGGATACACACGGCGCATGATGACCATACCCATGACGCACAGGTCGTATAGGCCCGGCCCCTCCTGGTTTTCATAGATAGCTGGTCTCGGATCAGCGTTCTGTTGTTCTCCTTCTGCTGATGTGGTGTTGTCCTCCAGCGGTTTGAACTCTACCGCGTGTCTGTGTGTGTGTGCAGTGTGCAATCTCCGATAGCTTGGGCAATCTACCTCTCCACAACTCCTGGGCTGCCGGGGACGCGATCTCCTACGAATTTGGGCCACATATACCCTGTGAAGCGCGGCCATCTGTTGCCGAAGCACAGCTGAACCGGTGTGACGGAGAGCGCGTATTTTTTCTTCTTTCTCAAAAGTCAACCGATCGTCAAACAATGCCCTATCGGTCTCGTTCTGGTTCGAAGGGTGCGATTAACGTGCGTCACGTAAATCAAACTTTGGGCCCCTGCAACACGCGGCGGAACTCAGGCCGATATTTAGAGCCTTTTGTTCCCTCCTGGGAGATGAAAGCAAAAAAGGTCGCGCTTCGCGCTCCGCGGCTCATTGTAACTTCTGGAACAGCTTTAAAGCGATCAAAATGGCCCCATCGACCTCAGTACAGCAGCTTCCTTCACTTTTAATGTACTTCACGCAAGCGCACACAGCTCGGAACTCCAACCCTCCGGGATGAAACACATCCTTCGACCCAGCCTTTTTGTTCTTCAATTCGGAGAGCTTGTCTCGCGCACATCAACTTCAGCACGATGGACTCGTAACTCTTTGGCAGCAATTTTCAAACCCCAAGCCTGCGTGTCCTACCTGCGTCATCTGCCAAGGCAAACGCCCCAATCCAGACAGGCCACGTCCCCAAACGCTACAAACACAAGATGGGACAGGAGAACACCACCCACCCTGACATTCCACTCGAAAGATCCCGTCTTCTCTAGCTGGTCCCACTGTTCCTCCGTGAAGCGTGATCGAGGGGTCTCACTCGTGTCGAATCGTCCCGCCACGTTCACCACCAGTGGGACGTCGTCAAACTTCTCCCCGTACCGCAACACGGCCGCAGCGCCTGCGTTTCCGTTCAAACCAAGAATAGCGAGGCACAAACCTTTGGACATTCCCAAACATGACAATATTGGTGAACGTGCGCTTTGCTGTAGAGCGAAAATAAAAGTTGCGAGGCAGCAGCAATCCGTCCACCAAAGAATATACCCAAATGCCAGTTTTGGCGGGCAGTGGAGCGAAAATCTACTTGAGAGTCGAGGGAGTCCATTTCAGGTAAAGCGTGATTGCGAGTCGGGGTAACGCAGGGATATCTAGACAAACCAGACGATAACTCGAAGCTATTTCGAGCAGGTCGGTTGCTTGGGGCAGATCGCAGAGTTGCTGGGTCACGCCAACAAAAAGAAGGGTTCACATAACTGCATGGTGAATTTGAAGCATCCTTACATCTGGTGGGGAGCGGGGAGCGTGGGCGTTAACTCTGAACACCACCGGGGGCATAAAGGGGGGCGTTTCGTTTTCTGTAACAAAGTGTTACGACAGGGTGGAGACAAGACAATCTTTGTCGAGAACCCATCGCTTCCACCTCGCACGAACTCCGAACCGATTTTTACTTGTCTCGACAAGCCCTCAAAATTTTCCGTGCAGAGGTACGCAAAGGAGGAGGATCCGTACCATAATATTCGTACGCCCGGATGAACCCCTTTTCCAACACGCGACCGAGAACTTCTGGCCCACTCACCCTTCGAATGGCCCAAAACGCAGTCCACGTTCCACCCGAGATCCCTTAGCCTAAGCACAACCGCTCGCAAGTCGCCCAGTTCTCTCTGGGAATCCATTATGACACACACACACATACAACACACACGGGTGCTGGGAGATAGTATGAGAGCAGAGCAGCGTCAATACTCGAAACCACAACTGGCGGCACGTGGCCCCTTCCCTGGCGGCACGTGGCCCCTTCCCCTTGCTCAATACCCTCCATTTCTCGAACACTGCTGTACGTCTCGTCTCTTGTTGGTGCCGGGAGGGGGGGGGGTTCTTGCATGAAAGGACCTGGCAAGACACCTCGAAAAGAGGCAACACGGTCTCGTCTTGATGCACTATACTGCTCGTGAACAAGAAGAGGATGTTGTGCGAGCGAGCGGTAGCGGGCTGGAGTGGCGGGCAAAGAGTCCGGGAATGCTTCTCCCCGTGTGGTCAAGGGAATAGAGGGGGCAGCAGTGATCATGGGGCTTGACCACCGCACGGGGGCACAGAGGGAACACCCTAACAACGCTCTCTCTCTCTCTCTCTCGCTCTCTCTCTCTTGCCTTCCTCGAGAAAATATCTGCTGGACGGAGTTGCTCCTGGATAGTCTGCCTGGTGCTTGCTCGACCAACACAATCTCACACCGAACAACTTTTTCGATATCTTCATGGCGTGCCATTGCTACGAACGCCGACCACTTACGTCGTAGCCGCCGTACCTCCAGTCCCCCCCGGACTGCCCGCATCCGGCAAAGTCGAATCTGCGAAAAGAGAATAGACAAGAGGCAGGTTGTCAGTAGGAATATCGTAGATGTCATCAGAAACGACCAGGATAGGGTTGCGATGGATGCGGTTCTTCCTCGAAGTTGGGGAGTTCTCTCCTTCCCTTCCCTCGCTCCCACCAAGCCCTCTAGCAAGAAGTTGGTCGGGATACTTTGGAGTAGAACGCGTTGGCAAACAAGCGGCCAGCCCTCTGTTGCTCATCAGCAGCGGGCGATTACAGTTGCGCAGGACCAATCAATAGAGGCACTGCTGTCACTACCTTCTTCTCCAGAGGCATCAAGCAACACGGTTGGGGACTCCGCCTCTTGCAAGCCGGACAGGCCTTACCTCATGTTACTCGGGTGGTCGCCAATCTTCTGCTCACTGCTCTCACATGATACTATTAATAAAGAAAAATAAGTTATGGTCTCTGAACAACATGCACGATATCGTGCGCTTCTTTCGCAGCAATCATGACGGGGGGAAAGCAGGGCTGGAGTGGAGTGGTGGCAGGCAGCAATCTGCTCTATGGCCCAATTGGTGCTGGTGCACCTGTGATCTACCCATGTAAATAGGTCTGCCGCGAGAACTGCTTCTTGATTGCACCTCGCAAAATAGTGCGCAAGGCCGTGCGGGGGAAGAGGCAGTCTCACAGCAGTAGACTCCCGCACTATCCTCCTACCTCGTGTACCGCAACAACAATACAAGTTCACCTCTACAGTACCCATAGATAAAATAAAGTCGAGGATGCATTAGACTACTTCACGATGGAAACAGAGGGGTACATGGCCTACCAGCTGCGCTGATGTGCAACAAAAGTCTGACAAAAACACTAGATACACCGACGCTCCCTTGCCTGTAGGTGTTCTCCGACAGCTCTCGGCTAACAAATGCAGGAACGGTGCCTTCGCAGCTCGAGCAGAGCCCGTGGCAAAGAACCCACACCGACTTAGAATCCTCTCGTTTCACCGTCAGCACGCCATTCAGATCATAGCCCTCTTCCTCGTTCCTGACCACCAGCTTCGATTTCCCTGGTACCGTGACGGCTCCTGCTTCCCCCGCCGGTTGCACTGCTGAAGTACTCGTAGCTGACATTGTTCCGCCGCTGATCGGTGCGTGTTGCGGTGATGATGACGGGTACACGATGAACGACTGGGAAAAAGGCGCTACTGCCACTAGCACTAAAGTGAGGGCTGAAAGGAGTCGCATTGATCAGGGATCTGCGTTGTGCTGCTGTCGGCGAGCGTGTCGTCGTTGGGAAATAAAAAGGTTAGCTTGGTTATTGGGGACTGCTGTGAGCATGACACATCTACAACGGTTTATGACAATGTTGTTATATACCATTGCACATCTACAAAGAAAGCGGAGATGCGGGGGAGACGGGATTTCAGGGAGGGGGGGGACCGTAAACGGGTCCCCAAATCTTGGGCTGCACTCGCTCTTTGCGTTGCTTTGTTCTTGTCTCCTCTCTCGATACCCTCTTTCTTGCCCCCCTCCTGCATCGAACGTGGTTCGAGGTTACGGACTGGTGGGTAACATTTTGCACACGCTGGTGAGTTCCAAGTCGGGGTTGATGCGTCCGCAGATCCAAACTGCACTTAGTAAACGTTTTGGATGGTATATGTAGACCACACATGCAGTTGTAGACACAGATCTGTGCGAAGATAGTCTACAGCAGTAGGCTAGGTTGTTGCGTCCCTTGTCTTGCCCGAGCCATCTCTCTCTCCGTTGTACGCTACCCCCGGTCTTGCTTCGATGCACTGCCACTCTCCTAGTGAAGGTAGCAACCCTGATACGATGGCCAGGCAGGCCCAGATATGTTGCAGGGCCAAGTTCTTGTGAACAACAAGCTGGATTTTCTCAGGAGGATGACATCGTTTTTTTTTTTTCTGTGTCCCTGGGTGCCATGTAGTCCACGCAAAATTAATTACTCCTTCCAAATACCATACCTCTGATCGTGGAGGAGTGCATGCAGGAGTCCGCCCTTCGTTCTGCGAATGGTGAATCAGTACCATCAATACATGAGGAGTGCATGCAGGAGTCCGCCCTTCGTTCTGCGTATTGTGAATCAGTACCATCAATGCATGGAGCAGTGAACCTCGAATGACGCCATCACCGCTTTACAGTATTTAGTGTACCCGCCGCAGAGAGTCAGCCAGGTCGGGAAAAGGAAAGAATGATAACTCTATAGCCGCAGCACACCATCGCCCTCCAAGACAGAGCAGTGTTCACACAAACAAACAGGGCTGAAGAAAAAGATAAACGGCTTTTCGACATCGCTCGTTTGGTTGGCCCAACAAAAAATCCACGGCGTTACTACACGCTGTCTGCTATTGTGACTGTGCTGTCTGTGCTGTCAGCAGTCACATCAGACAGCGTGTAGTAACGCCGTGGATTTTTTGTGTACTGATTGATGCACCAGACCGAGCAATGCAGATGGATTGGTTCTTGATGCCACCCCTCTCTCACCTTCATTCGGATGGCAGGAGCAATCTCAAACAGCGCCACTTTATGGTCTGTTGCCACGTGATGCATCGTGACAATCCTATATACTCCGTCTGGCCTCATCGATGGGATTTAGATTTAGTACAACGTCATTGCCTTGCCTATTGGCCTCCTTTCTAACCTGTCCCTGTATACCATTGTTGTACAGAGGGAGAAAAACACCTGACGGAAATTCGGCTTCGTCCATGATCGGGAGTGCTGCACCTCCAGGAGCACCCTCCAACGCTCCTCCGTTGTTGGACGATTTTCCGGAACTGGCCATCACTCGTGAAGACGATGAGGTGAAAGAAGGGCAAAAACGAAGGAAATTTGATGGCAACTTCTTGATTTCATCAAGATTTTTTGCATCACTCCGATTTTTTCTTGGAGAGACAAGTGACGAATGAGGTGAATGCCATGCCCCCCCCCACCCCCCTCCTCCCTGAAGGATAGCGTCGCCAAAGATGCGGTAGCCATGTCGAAGGTAATGCCCCGAGGCGTGTTTTCGGTCGATACTACCCGATTCCACTTTCTTTGGGAACACCAATGTGCCGCCTCCGCCTACGCAGACACCCACCCACCAGAACTCTTAGTCTATTGCTAGCGTGTTGGTGTTACATATCCCGCTTTAATGTCCAGTCGATTCGCGCGCTCGATGGTAATTAAAGATACACGCGCGCGGTCTTCTCCCCGATGGGCAGCCCTGTTCCCGTTTCTTTGAGAAGCACACAAACACACACACAGGCGCGTACGTTCCCACGTATACTCACCGATGATGATGCGTTTATCCTCCTCTCGTCGCGAAACAAGCTTCTGACATCGCTCCTCCAAGAGTCCGGCTGGGGCGAGACAAGCAAAGAGGACGACCGCGCCATCAATCTGCCGATCGAGTGGGTCGTGGACATAGCGGACAAGGACAATGACTGGTTCCTTGCCACGGCCTTCGGCTACAACGACATGAAGCAGACTCTGCACGTCATGGTGCCGGACGGCATCAACCCTACCTGGACAGGCGACGTGGCGGTCAACCAGTTGGTGCGCTGTTTTCGATCTCTAGTTGTGTGTAGGCTTGATGCCGTTTTCTTTGGTCACGTGTATGCAACCTGGTTGCTGATAGGTTGGGGTGCTTTCTCCAGCGTTGGGGCCGTAAATACTGCGTGCGACAAGTCATTAGGAACTTCTCTGTTGGTAAGCACACATACTCTACACTTAAAGCATGTTGCCTGGGCGTTTCAGGTTTGTCGTTTTCCTTCATGTTCAGGTTGTGGTGCGCATGTTCCTGCGGCAAGTCGATACATAGACCAATCTCCAGTCAAGCGCCATCCCTCCCCACCACCCCTCTTTGGTGCCGTCTAGTCGCCCTTGTGTTGCACAACTACCGCTTGCTGTCCACGGAAAAGCTGTTACAAGCTCATGAACATGGTGACAGGAACTTCGTGCATACGGCAAGAAATATTTTTACACTCACTTCACATAATCCTGGGTGTCGTGCACACTTCGACCCGTACGGACAAAACATTGTTGTCGATGTGTGAAGATCACGAGCACCTCCTCAATAACAGGTCGACATTCAGAATTGTGGCAGTCAGCGACGCGTGTCTGACGCCGAAGCACAGCGATCAACGCCCTAACCCAATCACGTTCTCATGCAGCTTCGCCAGGACGAGAATAAGAGCAAACATCCGTGGTGGTGGTGGTTGCCGCCAGTAGAGGCAGCACCAGGGTAGCGTCGACCCGAAGGCTTTGTTGACGAAAAGCCTTTGAAGGAGTTGGCAGGGGACACAACAATGTGGTCTGTCTGTCTCCTCCAAGGGGCTGATGTTTGTGTTCCTTCTCGTTTAGCACTCCCCCGACCGAAAGCACACAATGGTCTCGGCACATTCGTCAAAAAGGCCCTCGTTCTGCTAGCAGCGAGTACCCGTGCGTTGTGCAAAAAGGAGGCCTCACGCGTCTTCCCCGTCCGGATCCCAGTGATGGGTAGTCGACCTC